AACAGTAGTCACTACCACACAGGGCTACTAGGCAGTGAAAATATGGCTAGTGCAACTAAGGAACTGAATTGCTTGGATAACACTTCTGCTTACTAATTACAAAATCTGCAAGTTAGTATTTTGTTTTAAAAACACAGCTACCTTTTATTACTGCCAAACATTGTAAAGTTATTAACATACCCATACTCTTTGATACATCTTATTGGGAGGATATCTTCTTTGACCACTAAACAAAGAATTATAAATGGAAGTTTTTTATGCTGTTTTCTAAACACTGACAATATATGACACTCTTTAAATATTTTTTTAATTAAAAAATAATAAGGGGAAAAGACAATTTGCTTCAGCAGAGAAACAGGGAAGCAGTTAATTTCTTTCTATAAAATGTCTAACTCTAACCCTTGCAATAAGAAAATTAAAAAGAAAACTTAGTCAACTTTAAAAAGAGAGAAAACTTGGAGGGTTATAGATGAAAATCAAATGTCTAACTATAATCTTTATTAATTTACACATATCTAAAATATATAAGGCAATATATTAATTTACAAAACAAGTTTACTCCAACTATCCACGAATATCTTAAACACCAGCGTCTGTGATGAATTAAGCCACTATGTTGCAAAGAACTTCCCTGGGTTGTATCCATTAAAAAAAAGAAAAGAAAAAAAAAGAATTAAGCCACTATGAATCACCAAATTCCATTTTCCAGAGCACGTACCATCTACTAGATCTGTTACAATAAAGCACTTCTGAAATCCATACACAATGCTTTTGCTGGAAATCTCAACCCAAGCCATCAATGTCTGTTTAGGTGAGCAGAACTTCTTTTCATTCATTCATATATATATATATATATATATATATATATACACATACACATACACGTATGCACACAGTGACACACTTTCTTTTTTTTGAGATCTGGAAAAATTAGTTTTTGCATTTAACACTTGCACTTCATGATACCCCACACCCCTATCAGGAATAATGACTGAATCACTCCTATTTTTTTGTTTCACTTATTTAGTAAGATTGAATAAATATCCCAAAGTATCACCAGCTGAGCTTATTCCCATTGTTCCAGCCCATTATGTCTTTCCCAAAGAGCACCTTGTTGTTCAAAATAGTGTCTGAGAAAGAGTGCCCGGTAACAGGGGAGCCCAAACATGATGCTTTTGGGGGGAGCCCTGCGTGTGATCAGGCATATACAATACATACTTGAAGATAATTTTTAAGAGGGAAGACTGCCTGGTTTCTTCATGTCTTCTATAAGTGCTGTCTAAGCTTTGAGATTTGGATTAAAATACCCAAGTCTACTGCCATTTTCCTTTTGAAATCACAGGCAGACAGGAAACTGCCAAGACTTGCTTTTTAATTTTAATAGAAAATAAAATTAAAGTGGAAGACTTTCATTTTGAGACAAGGTCTCGCTCTGTCACCCAGGTTGGAGTGCAGTGTCATAATCACAACTCACTGCAGCCTTGACCTCCTGAGCTCAAAGATCTTCTTGCATCAGCCTCCCCAGGAGCTGGGGCCACAGGCATGCACATCATTGCACCTGGTTAATTATTATTATTATTATTTTTTGGTAGAGACAGGGTCTCACTATGTTGCCCAGGCTGGGCTCAAACTCCTGTGCTCAAGTGATCCTCCCACAGTGCTGGGATTATAGGCATAAGCCACCACACCTGACCCTACTTTCAACATAATACTACACTACTAAAGGTATAATCTTGCCAAAAAGCTACTCCGATGTTATCTATGTTATCTCTGCTAAACTTAAAAACTTTCTACTGGTGCTAGGCGTGGTGACTGATGCCTGTAATCTCATCACCAAGGCCAAGGCGGATGAATCACCTGAGGTCAGGTGATCGGCCTGGCCAACATGGTGAAACCCCGTCTCTACTAAAAACTTACAAAAATTAGCCAGGTGTGGTGGTGCATGTAGTCTCAGCTACTTGGGAGGCTGAGGCAGGAGAATCACTTGCACCTGGGAGGCGGAGGTTGCAGTGAGTTGAGATCGTGCCATCGCACTCTGGTTTGGGAGTCAAGAGTGAAACTCTGTCTCAAAACAAAACACTTTCTACTGCCTCCACTAGTGTGAAAAATAGAAAAATTCAGTGTCTACTGTGTCATTTCCAGGTTACTCTGATCTGCCTTTGTTTACCTCACTGGACCAATCCTTGGTTCTTCTTACTCTACCAGTGAGTCCCACTCCACCTTCTCCCCTCAGCGCACTCCAGTAGTTGGAGGCACTGCCACACTGGCACTACAACCTGGTTTGGCTCTATTCCAACCATACTTTGCAGCTCAGCTTAGTCATCTCTTTCTCCCAAAAGCTTCGTCGATCACAGTCCCTTCCACACACAGACCCAGGAACAAATCTCTATAGTAGAACTCTTGTCTGTTTCATATACTACCACTACAAATACCTAAGGCTTACTGAGCATACGAGGCACTAAGACACTTCAAGCACTTAAAATTAAGTGCTTTACATAGATTGTCTTCTTTAAGCTCACAAGAAACCTATTAGGTAGGAAACATTCTTCAGATGGGAAAGGCGAGGCCCAAAGAAGTTACAATGCCAGGACGGGAACTCAGGCCATGTGGCTGAAGGGTCTGCATTCTTCCCTTATATAGCACCTTGCTGCTCAAAGGATTCTACACATGACCAGGGGCTTCCTGAGGGAGCACAACAGTGAGTGCTTACCAGATGCTTGCTGAGCATGATCAGAACACTTACTACCTGAGAAGTCGTCAGCCACATAGAATATAGAATGCAAACTTGACTTCCAGTACTGTCCATTGAGTAATGCTGGTTTAACAGATGATCCCTAGAGCCCCCTTCCAGCAAAACAAACTAGCAAAAACAAAGCCCCCTTTTTTTCCCCAGAGATGTCCTTTATAGGTGCTAACATATTGCTTGCAAAACCAAAAACCAATTACTGAGTAATTAAGTGAGGCCTTTACCTAGTTTCAGTGACAGAAGCACACATAAACCTCACATTTACAGGCAGGAGCAAGAAAATCATTCCAAGATACACTAATCTAATTTGTTGTTGATGACAAAGAAAAATAATTGAAACAAGCCCACTTTTTAATTTTCTAGCTTAACACTGATTTTCAAGGCCAGAAGGATTTATAATTCATTAAAAAAATTAGCACATATTCCAATTAACACACAAAAAAACTTCAGACTACAGGGAACCTAGAAGATATTTTGCCAAAAGGAAATCATAATAGCTAACATTTAGCTATTTTTTTTTTTTTTTTTT